ACACATAAACAGAAAGCTAAAAGCTTCACATTGAACTTTCCCATAATAATTACAGACTTATTTTATTCAAACCTACAAAACTGGAGGCATTTTTGCTTATTTGTCTCTTTGTTTTTTAAAATTTGTTGCCATTGGTGTTGTTTTGAGATAGGATCTCACTATTTAGCTCAGGCTGGCCTTGAACCCACTACTTAGACCAAGCTGGCCTGGAACTTGGGGTGATCCTCCTGCCTCAGCCTCCCAAGTATTGGGATTACAGGCAATATACTCCTTAAAATTTTTTTTGAAACTGAAAACTCTCAACGAACTCTGAATTTTACATTATAAGATTATATCCTAATTGGCACACAATCTATGTCATATTAAAAGATTAAAGAGCAGAATTTGAACTAAAAACCCAATTTTCACCATGTAAGTTAAGACAAAAATGAATCCCCATAAAGCTCTTAAATATCCAAAAGAAATTTCTTGTGTTACTTTGAGTTTCCTAAAGTAATGGCAAAACAGAAGCACAATTTAGAGTAGCAAGAAAATATCTACCTTTCTCTAATTAAGAACACATAACCGGAAGCTCCAGTGGTGCAATTAGTTAGCGCATGGTACTTATATAAGAACACATAAGCCCAAAAGGCTGACTTCTAAGTAAATTTAGCCAGTTAGATTTAAATTATGTTTTTAAGTATTTCAAAGTAATGTACAGATTAAATGTTTCATTTTACTTAATTACTCTAAACTTTCTTCCATGACCCTCAACTGATGAGTTCCATTCTTGAAATCTCCAGTTGTATGAATTAAAGTATCTTCCAAAGAATGAGAATTTAATTTGGTAAGCTTTAATAGAACCAGCACAACAACGCAGGGAACATACACAATTAAATAAAGGTGGAATAATTTTTAAATGTTTTGTTATTGAAGAAACAGAAACAGGCAGTCCTGCTTTGCATATTTCTGATATGCATGGTTTCAGTTCCCACATTTTAAATAGCATCAGTCTCTCAACAATATAGTTCACATTTAAGTTACCACAAAAACTGAGTTATTACATAAAGTACAAATGTGCTGTTAGATCTTCAGTCCACAAATTACTACACAAATAACAGATGGATAATACAACCAATCATGTCACCATTTCAAAGTTTATCTGGTGAAAGTATACCTCTACTATTTTGGTTTATGCACAGGCTGGAAGTATAGTTCCATTACCTCCTTGTCTCCCAAGAGTAAGTCACTGTGACATTTTATAAAAAAAAGATACTGAAAAGAGAGAACTGGCCAATGAAGATGAAACTACAACGAAGACATGAAAAGTAATAATTTAGCAGTAAAACTGGAATTCAATGTAAATGGGCATGAAGAAGAAACAGCTTAATGTAAGAATGCTGATATTGCTGCACACTTGAAAGGCAAGATATAAACCAAATGACACCGTGATGACACATTTATTAACATAAATGAACAAAGTGGCTGCAGTAAGAGTGAAGATGGTATTACAGAAAAATGATACTCTCACAGTAAGTATTTACTGTAGACCAATCATTTGCCACACATTGTACAAGTCCTGAAGACTTAAGACAGATCACTTTACACTAGATTCTATAGTACATGAAAATCTAATTGAGCAAATTTCCATTCTATATCAATTTTACTCTAAAACCTGAAAGGGAAATAAGATGCCACACAAAGCATAAAAACACAGAATTACCATCTAAGCCAATAATTCCATTTCTTGGTTTATATTCAAAGGAAGTAAAAACAAGGTCTCTAGGAGATGTCTTATATCCAGGTTTATAACAGTATTATTCACAACATCTAAAAGGCAGAAACCCAGGTGTCCATACAGAAACAAAATGTAGTGTATATATACTTTGGAATATTATTCATCTTTAAGAAGGAATGGGGCCGGGCATGGTGGCACACTCCTGCAATCCCAGCACCTGGGAGGCTGAGGCAGGAGGATCGTTGTGAGCTTGAGACCAGCCTGGGCTACAAAGTGAGCACAAGGCCAGCCTTGTGCATAGCAAGACCCTGTCTCAAAAAGACCAAAAAAAAGAAGGAAGATCATTCTGATACACATTACAACATGGATGAACTGGAGGACATTATGCAGTGAAATAAGCCAGTCACAAAAGGACAAATACTATTTCCACTTGTGTAAAGTATCTAAGGTAGAGAAATTCATATTGGAAAATACAAATGTGGTTTCGAAGGATGCAGGCAGTATAGACGTAGAGTTAGTTTTCAAAGGGTATAGTTTTAGTTTAGGAAAATGAGAAATGTTCTGGGGATGGATGGTGGTGACGGCTGCACAAAAATGTACTAATGCCACTTAATGCGCACATTTTGTTTTGTTGTTTGAGACAGGGTCTCACTATGTTATTCAGGCTGTCCTTGAACTCAGTATGTAGCTCTAGTTTACCTCAAACTTACAATCCTCCTGCTTCTACCTCTGAAGTGCTGGGATTATAGGCATGCTTGGCTACTTCATTTGTACATTTAAAAATGGTTAAGATGATAAATTTTACGTTATATCTATTTTAGCCACAATAATGAAAGGGAAGAAAAAAAAGCAACAGCCTTTTTCAGGCATACAAAAGTCAAAAGAACTCACCACCACCAGGATAGCACAATACTTCACGTTTCAATATTAGTGATATAAAGACCACCACAACTCTGAGCTATAAAATAATATTCAATAAATTCAGAAGGACATGAATCATATAAAACGTATTTTCTGCTGAAAAATGCTAACTATAAATGAATATAAAGAAATTATTTTCCTAATATTAGATCTAAATTCAGTTCTTGGGCTGGGGATATGGCTCAGTGACAGAGTTCTTGCCTTGCATGCACAAGACGCTGGGTTCAAGCCCCAGAAAAAAAAAAAAAAAAAATTAAAAACTCATTTTTTAAATTTTTTTTTTTTAAATTTCATTTTGGTCTTTTTTGAGAAAAGGTTTCATGATGCAGTTCAGGATGGCCTTGAACTCACTTCATAGCTCAGGCTGGTCTCAAACTTGCAGTGATCCTCCTGCAGCTATCCTAGCCTCTGGAGTGCTAGGATTATAGGTATGCACCACCACACTTGGTCCCGAACGTAAAAAAAAATTTAAAAGCCTCAATAGATGAAGAGACTAAGGAACTGTGGTGTGGGCAGGGGTGTGGGTGTGTGTACTATACCTATGCAATATATGTTGATTATTATTTAACCTTAAAAACAGAACACCCAGCTGGGCGTGGTAGTGCACATCTGTAATCTCAGCACTCAAGAGGCTGATGCAGGAGTATTACTGTGAGTTCAAAGCCAGCCAGGAAAAAAATAAAATCAAATCAAAAATAAAAGCCAGCCAGGTATGCACACTGAGCTCATGGCCAGCCTGAACTATACTGCAAGACCTGAATTACACTGAGCCACACTGTCTCAAAAAACAAAAAAAAAAAAAAAAAAAGAGAAAGAGAGGGAGAAGGAGAATGTAAGAATAATTCTTAAATTAAGCCTAACAATCTTTGAAAACTCGTAATACATAATATATCACACTTAACGGAAATTTATCCCAGAAAAGCAAGGACAGTTTAACATTCAAATAACAACAAAAAAGAATTTAATTCACTATATTAGAAGCATTTGACAAAATCCATCACTCACTCCTGATAAGAACTCTCAGCAAAGTAAGAATACTTAGTGCAACTACTCTGGTAAAGAATTAGTAATTTCTTAAAGTTAAACAAACACCTACTATGTGAACCATCCACTCACCTCAGAGATATTTACCCCTCAGAAAACAAAAGCATTGACCATGCAAAGTTCTGTACACAGATGTTCACATGAAGTTTTATTTGTAACAGCCAAAACATGAAAACAACCCAAATTTCTAAAAACATGTAGATATATAAAATATATAGCAACCGAAACCACTCAGCAGTAAAATGGAACAAACTTCTTAACATGCAACAACACAGATGCGTTCAAAATAATTATACTGAGTGAAAGAAGTTGCGTCAGAAAGAATAGTCTTTATTGCACGATTCCATTTTCATAAAATCTAGAAAGTATAAACTAACCTGTAATGACAGAAAGCCGTAAGACAGGGGACTGGTTGGAGGGAAGTATTACAAGGTAGTAGTACATGCTCATTATCTTCAATGTGTTGATGGTCCCATGGGTAGATGTGTATGTCAAAGTTTATTAAAACTGTAAGCTTTAATTATGTTCAATTTATTTAGCCTCAAAAACTATTAGAAGAGTAGGTCAGTAATGAGAGTGGTACAACAATGTGAACACACTTAATGCCACTGAGCTGTACACTTAAAAATGATTTAAAATAGTAAATCTTGTTGTATTTTACTGCAATTTTTTAAAAATGGTAGGACTATTGAACTCAAAACTGAAGGTAAAAGTGATAATGATGACAACCAACAAGAAGATGAGTAAGGAATCTGTATTTCCATGTTAGCCACAGACATTACCACATTCAGCTTTGTCTATGATGGACCAAACATGCAACAGCAGCCCCATAAAATAAAGCTGAAAAACTCCTGTCACATAATGACCTTAGAAGGCCCTAGTGCAATACATTACTCTTGTGTTTTGAGACACTGGGATCTAATGCACTACCAGTAATATAAAAGGATTGCACATACATTATGTATGTTACATTAAATTAATGATAATAAACTGTTTTTGATTTATGTATTTACTATATTACACAGTTATTAGAGTGTATTACTTCTGCTTATTAAACATTATACAGTACCATGTTATACTAGCAGCAGCCTCATACATCTTACGTCATTCCTGATTACATCAAGAGGCCACATCAAGTGGCTGGCTGGCCTACATCATCTAAGTTTGGGCAGTTACACTATGACTCTGCAAAACAAAATTGCCTTAGGACAGATTTCTCAGAACAGATCTGGTCATTAGGCAATGAGTGGCTATACTGTTTTAGATATAGGTGCTTCTGGTTAAATGTAAATTTATAGAGTTTCTTACATGCTATTACCTGTGAGATATGATTGATGGACGACTCCATTCTCCGAAGCTGAGAAGCTTGGATGTCCAGCAATTGGAGTACATTGTTAGCCAGTGCATTTATCTGATAAGCAACACTAGCTAGAGATTGGGTTGTGTATGCTTTAGTCTCTTCTAAAGCTTTTCTCTTGTCCGTAGCCTGAAATAAAAACAAAATCAATAAGTATTAACTTAGGCTAACATTCTTTAAACATATGTTCTATAAAAACACAAAGTTGTAATTATTTTTTTTTTAGAAATCATAATTCAATAAAAAAAACTTACTGCACCAATCTAACAACTGTACATTGAGTTTAAAGACCAACAACTGATTTTCTAATACCCACCTTGCAACCCCAAACATTGCTAAATGCACTAATTAGTTTGAATCATTTTTGTGGATGATTTAGAATATTGTACATACATAACCATGCTGTCTAATGAACAAAAAGTTTATTTTTTCCTTTCCAATACAGATGTCTTCTGTTTCTTTTCCTTGATCTATTGCACTGGCTAGGAACTCTAGTACAATACTGAACAGAAGTAGTTGTTTCCAACATTAAAGGGAAAAGTATTCAGCATTTTAACATTAAACCACACAGAAAATAGGTTTTTCCACAGATACATTTTATGAACCTATGGGACTACCGTTTTATTTTTAGTTTGTTTACAAACCTAAATGGACTTAGTCTGGAGTAACTCTTGGTTACTTTCAGTCATCTACTGTAGTCAGAGATTCACCTGCCTATTCTCAAGTTTTCAGAGTCTAGGTTGTGCACATCTGTTCCTAGAAGAGCAGGAGAGAATGCCAGCTTTGAGCTAAGATCTATTTCTCTTGGGAAGATGTTTCATTTTTCGCCAGCTTCCCTTATTGTATGAATATGGAACTAAGAATTGCCAATGAAATGTTAGTGGAAATGCTGCCATTTCCAGGTCTGGACAGAAAAATCACCCATTCATGTTCCAAACTAATAAAGTAAAATGCAGACCTATCAAAATAAAGTTGTATTGAACATAAAACAATAGTTTACAATGCTTCCATTTTGTAAACTTAAAATAACTAAGGCTTAACTTTAAAATTCATTTCCCCAGGCCAGGCATGGTGGCGCATGCCTGTAATCCCAACACTTAAGAGGCTGAGGCAGGAGGATCATTGCAAGTTTGGGGCCAGACTGGCTACAAAGTGAGTTCAAAGCCAGGTTGAACTGCAGAGTGAGACTCTGTCTCAAAAAGGCCAAAAAAAAAAAAAAAATTCCATTTTAAGTGCTCAACAGGCATGCCGTGTGGACTGTGACCACCTTACAGAGTGTAGTTCTACTCACCGTTAATTTCTTCTAAAGATTATGAATCCAAAAATTAAACCTGCACAAAAATTACTGTTACAAACTTATTTCAAGTTTGTAAATTCAGTATGCAAGAGTTAGTTTTCCTTCCTTAGATATTCTGTATTTTTATACAATAAGGGCTGGGGGAGTGGTCACACAAAGTGAATTATAAATTAGAAGATAAACTGCCAGCATAGACTCTTAACTAACTGCCCTAGGAACTGACATATGACAATGAAACCCATTTACTATCCCTCTGTTATGCCACTGAAGAAGTTTGCTTAAAATGGAATCAAACATATTTAGTTTTAAAATGAAAGTTAAATTATTTAAAATAGATACACAATGAATCCAAAACTAAACAGAAAGTTCCTTAGATGACTGAACTTTATGAACAGCTTACACATAAAACTCTCTTTTTCTTCCTTATCCACTTGTAGAAATCAAGCTTTACTAGGTCAGGATCTGCTAGCTGGAGTAGAAAACCTTTTCAAGTAATAAATATATACCTTTTTTTAGTCCTTTACTTGCCCCTGAGGTTAACCTCTTTTAACCTCTTTTACTGCCTGAAATAAAAATTACTAGCTATATAAGCAATCAATCTCTCTCATCTCTGTGTCTTTCAATCTCTCTCGAACCTGCTGGAGCCCCCCCCAACACATATATTTTAACTGCCTTTCCTGCCCCTCACACTCACAGCCTTCACCTACTACTAGAGGAAAAATATTTCTCTTTCTTATAATCAAATATCTGATTCCAAAAGAGAAAGAAAATGTCTTTGTCATAACTATGCCTAAAAGATATAAAACAATTTAAGTAAAACAATTAAAAACAATTTAAGTAAAAACAAATGTCATGTGCTTTTCAAATTATTTCCTGCTTCTCACTTTGAAAGTATTCATTACAGAAATAAAAGCAAATAAAAGTACACATCACGGTCCAATCATTCAAATAGATCATGCTAACTTTTTTTTCCATGCTAACATGTTAATAATGTATTTTCATCAAGTCATTCCACATGTATGTATACATAATGATTATATAGTCCATAGCCCATTCTTCATTTAATAATGTATGAGTACCAGTATCTTTTCCCCTTATACTATTCTTCCCTACTATCCTTTTCAAAAAATAATTTTCAGTAGCTTTATGACTATGGCAGTAACCCTTAGATACCTACTCTTGTCATTTTAATTCCTACTTTAATCAAACTTCTCATTTGATTTTTAATCAGTACATCAATGTATTGGGTTTTGTTAAAAACAAATTAACATACAGCTTCCTCTAAATTACCAAACAAAAGACAGCAATATTTCAAGTTACAAAAGCTTAGAGAGAAATGAGTATATTAATTTTAAGTATCTCCTATTTCCCTGTAAGTATAGTGTAATATATAAGTATAAATATAACTCCCACGTTACTGAACTTCAACTTTAATAAGCACATTTAGTTTTATAAATTCACATTTTACTTGGTTTTATGTTTGCAAATGTTTGAATCTACAAGCCACCAAAATTTAGTTTCACTCATGTTTTAATGACTCCATAATTCATTTTTTCGAAAATAAGATATAAAAGATATTTTGGTATTATAGGAAATACCAGAACACTAGTATCATTTTGCTCTAGTTCTAAACTTCAATCTTACTTCTTGAAATACTAGCATTGTTAATTTACTAAAACATGTCTTTCTTCATTTTACATTATTCATTAATAAAACTGTTTTCTTCCAACTTGTCACAGCAGTATTTTAGCTGCATATCTACCAACCTATAAGCTAACTTTAAAAGTACCATTTCTAAAGCCCTACAGCACTGAAAGATGTAATATATAGAAAAAGAATAAAGCCTGTACCTATACCTAGCATATCCTATAGCACTGGCCTGTAAAATAACATTTTAGAGTAACAACATGACAAATTACAATGTCCTTCTTACTCATTTTGAACCCTTCCTTAAAGTAAAAGAAATACCTTGAAGATAATTTGCTTTCTTTAGAAAACAGTAATTTCTCTCTCTCTCCTAAGCACAAGTTATTTAATGACCTTCTTTGGGTAATGAAAGAGAAGTCTCACATGCATTTAAAATAGATTTTAAAAGTTTTCTGCCATTTTGGCTCTATGTCTTTAACTTTCTTCACACTCTTTCTAGAAATACCATGTCTATCACACTGTATTTTCTGTACTTTTTAACTTACCTCTAATCCAACCCTAAATTCAAATTTCTCTAAATTCCAAAGGAAACCCTTTATATCTGTTCTATTTCATACTGTGTGCTCCAAGGCAAAGATTGTTCACAGCTGTTGATAATCATGTCTATGTGTGACAAACTGTGGCCCTGTCTTTTCCATCAAAGGATACAAACAGGAATGCCTCCATCTCAGACTCTAGTCCACCCTAGGAAGCTTCCCCCAAACACACCAAAATTACAAAACACCTACTCAGTTTAAATTCTCATTTGATTTTTAAACAGTACATCAATGTATTGGGTTTTGTTAAAAACAAATTAGCATACAGCTTCCTCTAAATTACCAAACAAAGGACAGCAATATTTCAAGTTACAAAAACTCAGAGAGAAATGAGTATATTAATTTTAAGTATCTCCTATTTCCCTGTAAGTATAGTGTAATATATAAGTATAACTCCCACGTTACTGAACTTCAACTTTAATAAGCACATTTAGTTTTATAAATTCACATTTTACTTGGTTTTATGTTTGCAAATGTTTGAATCTACAAGCCACCAAAATTTAGTTTCACTCATGTTTTAATGAATCTGTAGCTGGAAACACAGCTACAGACCAAGGTAGCTTATCAATAGCCAAGGCCCTTCTGTTCCCCACACCTTCTCTCCTCCCACTCTTCTTTCCCAGCAACCCTTGTGACCCTCCCCTCCACTGATCCTCCCCTCCACCGCTTGAATTAGTCAAGCGGGATCACTGGTAACCCTTGAATTCAGCCAGTGAATTTAAAGGACAGCTGCTTTCCATGCTAAGGACTTAAAACATCCCACCCTCCACCTGGCCCCATCTGCATGCCTGCTGCAGAGTCTGAGTGCATGCTCACCCTTCTGCAGAAGTAAACTTTAAATACATGGCATGGTGAAAGGCCTGCACTGGAGGAGAGTTGCTCACATCATGGCAGCCAGGAAGCAGAGAGAAGGGAGGAACTGGGAAAAGAGATACACCTCTTGAGGGCACAATCATCAATGACCCACCTCCTCCGACCAGGCCCTGCTCCCAAAGAGAAGTCAGCTCTAACCCTGCCCCTCAATATTCAGTCACCTTCCCAAAGCCCTGCAGGAGGTCTCTGGGGGGTCCTTCTCAATCCAAATCACAAGTGCAGCCCTTTTAATGTTCATGATAGTTCTTATGTCTCGAGACCAGGCAGCTCTGATTTGAATTCCAACATTCCCACCAGCTTGAACCAGGGGTGGCACACACATGCCTGTCCCATCCCACATACAACACTTCTCAGAGGGTCTTTAATTACAGTAATGCAAAGAAAGGCACTGATTTAGCAGACGAGATGTCATATTACAGTTCCTTAAGGATAACATTAAAATGGCATAAAAAGTTATCATACAGCAAATCTGTGGTATAGCAATTGTAAATGTGCATACATACCATTAATGGGGTACTTAATATAATATTTCCATATGGAAATTTAGAGAACTGTTGATAAACTATAAATATAAATTTCTTTTAATTTAATGCAATAAAGTTGATTATCATAATTTTATTTTGTATGAACAGAATTAGTATTTATATTTGGGCAGTAATTACTCAAAGTCAAGCAACCAGACTCAGTCCATTTACAGGCTTTTTATTAATTTTATT